CGGCCCCCCCCCCCTCCCCCCCCCCGCCCCGCCCCCGGCTTGCCGCCCGGAACCGCCCCCCGCTGCAGCCCGCGCCCCGCCTTGGCCGCACTTCGCGCGCGCCCAGACCACGCCCCCTTCCTCCGATAGCCCCGCCCCCCACCGCGGCCGCACGCCCTAAGCGCCGCTGGCCACGCCCCCTGAGCGATCCCTGCGAGCTTAACCCTCGCGCGGCAGCGGGCCTGACCGGCGTCCTCTCTGCTCGGCTCCGCGGCGCCGGGATGGAAGCCGCAGCCTTGCGCAGAGGAGGCGGCGATCGCGCGGCCGGACAGGAAGTGGCCCGGAATTCCACCGCTCGCGCCCTGCTTCTTCCGCGGGAAGGGAAGGGAGTGCCGGGAAGCCGCGGGGGGCCGGATATTCCCGGGGCTGCGCGGGTACGGCTGGAGTGGGAAGCTTCGCACCGGCCTGCTCCCTGGCCGCAGCACCCTGTACCAGATGTGAACGGATGCTCTGCAACTCCAGTGTTTCAGGGCCTGCGGAGGGCTAGCCTCAGCTGCTGAGACCGCCCATGCAACTCACAGAAGACCCTGCCCTAGTAGAGCTTACTTTCCATTGAGGGGCATGCAGGTAGCTCAGGTTGGAGTCCCCCTCCCCAGCTTATGTGACCCACGTCACATGTTACCCTGAGCCACTTTTCCATGTTTTGCCCAAAGTCTATCGTCAGTATTAATTGATCAGAAGTGGAAGAATAAACACTGAAGGAAAAAGGAGATTTCTCATTCAAAGTTTCCATTTAGTATCTTCTTTAAAGTACTCCAGGAAGGACAAAAGGTCTTTTTAATAAATTATACTGGCAAATATTGGATTTAATTCTGCCAGTAATGAAGGAGCGGGTAATCACTTTTTTCCCCAGTTAATTACTTAGATAACCACATATCACTTTCTAAATATACAGAAATGCAAAATGAACAAAGAACTGTTTAGTTTCCATTTCTTTTTTGAAATTAGGTCCATAGTTATTTTTCTGAGTAAAGAGTTCTTAAAAATGGCAGGACCTGGGCTATAATTGCGACTGGATGGAGCTTCTAGAAAAATTGTACTTCCTATATTCTGTACTGTTCACTATTTAGCACACAGCTGTGGGTCTTTAATTCTGGCTCTCAGAGAAGTGAAAAATCATGAAGACCTATATTGGACTAAACATTTAACGTCAGGATCGACTCTTGTGTTTGTGTGTGTACATGCACATTCGTGTGTTTGAATGCAGACGTGTTCACTGTTTGGTCAGAGAACAACCTTGTGTCCATCCTCACCTTCTACCTTGTTTGAGTCAGTGTCTCTTTTTGCTGTTGTTCCATGGGGTCCTCCAGCCTCTGGGAATTCTGTCTCCCTCTGCCTGTAGGAATGCTCCCACTAGTCGAGCATTTATGTGGGTCTGGAGTTTCAAACTCAAGTCATGCTTACACAGTGCACACTTTTACCCATTGAGCCATCTCCCAGCAAAAACTATTTTAATCTCTTCTTTTAAGCTTTATTTTTTAAAATATTTTATTTTTTAACAGAGCATAGGGTAGGGGCTTATTTATTTTTATGTATGTGTTTGCATGCCTGCCTGTGTGTCTACCACATCCCTGTGACGGCCATGGAGGCCAGAAGGGGAAGTTGGAACTCCTGGAACTGGAGTTACATGTAGTTGTGAGACACCTCATGTGGGTGCTGGGAACTGAACTCTAGTCCTCTGCAAGAGCAGCACGTGCTCTTAACCCCTGAGCCACCTCTTCAGCCTCCAAGACTGACTCGTCCTAAAATTGGTCTCCAGCCTTGTGAAGAACAGAAAGATCAAGAACTCCAGAGCTCCTTGATTTTCTATCTGTATATATATGTTCCATTGGTCAACCAGCAGCCATGCCAATTAAGCTGAGCCCAGTGAAAGTAAGCTCTTAAAAGGGAAAACTGAAATACTTTTAAGTGATTCAACCTGTTTCCCCTCCTTTCACAAGGTTTTGTAAGAGATACTGTGGTATGCTATTCCTCTAAATGTGTCATAGTGTCAGTCTAATCTGGGAAGCCCTGGGAAATAGGTATTATAACTTCACATTTCTGAGAAACTTGAAATAAAGAAGATGGGTTTAGTCACTGCTCTTGTTGCTAATAGCCAGTCCTTCCCTTTGAAGTATAATTGAACAATTAGACATAAGGTTCTATGATGTATGTTTGATAAAGAAGCCTGAAGGAAGCACCAGGTGCCTCCTCCAGCCATCACAGCCAATCTCTAAGTCCAAGTTGCCAAAACCATCTTTAATCCAAATGATGTGTTAAATATTTCCCAACACTTTTAGTGTAAATTCTGAATGTTAAGAAATTGACAACAACCCACATTTTGCAGGAAATTTGCAAGTCCTTCCCCAACGTTTTTGATTCAGTCAATCATGGAGTCTTATTATCTTCAAATTTCTCCCAGTGATCCACACCTCCGCCATTTACATGTGGCCTACACAAACCACACATTAATTTCCCTGCCTGCGTCCATCATCTTCCCACTTATTATCCATTCCTTTTGGAACATCCAGGGCACTTGCCATGCAGTGGATACTGCTGGTTACTGGAAACAAAGATAGGAAAACACTGTGATGGCGCCATATGTCTTCTGTCTTCAATCTACCTAACGCCTTTTCCTTTGAATGTGAGTTAGACTACTGTCTAACAAACAATATGGTGTAAGTGATGATTTTTCACTTCCAAAACTAGGTTCTAAAGGGTGTTTTGAATTGATTTCTCCTTTCTCTTGGATCACCCACTCTGGAAAAGCCAGCGGCCATATTGTATCAATGTTCATAGACTCTAGCAGAGTTCACATGGCAATATCTGAGACCTCCTGCCAGCAACCAGCACTGACTTGCTAGGCATGTGAGGGAGCTTCTTTGAAAGCAGAGTCTCTAACCCTATGAAGCCTTTAGCCAACCTGCTGTCCACAAAAAAACAAAACAAAACAAAAAAACCCTAAGCCAGAACCAGCCAGGTCTAAGCCACTCCCAAATTCCTGACCTACTGCAATGATGACATAATAAATATTTAATAATTTAAGGCTCTAAATCTTGTTTGTTGTGTAGCAACAGGTAACTAGTACATATTGCTGGAGCTTACAATATTTTAGAGAACACATATCATTACAATTCAACAGGATGATCGTGATTCTAATTATTTGAAATATGTATGCATGAGTCTAAAGAGAATGTGTTTCATTTCTGTTTAAGGTATAGTAAAAGGAAATTTGGGCTGGACCTTTATTTGTCAGCCATTTTACTGACAGACAATGCAGGCTAGGTGTGGTGGTGCACACCTGTAATCCCAGCACCCAGGAGACTGCAGGAGAGTTTGCACAAGTTCAAGACCAGCCTAGGTTACCTAGTACAAGGGCAGTCTGGGCTACAAAGTGAGACTTTCTCTTAAAACAAAACGACAGACAGAGATAGGCAGAGAAAGTGACAGAGATTGGGAACACAGATGGGTGGTAGATAAGTTTGGAGAGAGATGGATACAATAAAGATTGTAATTTTATTTTGCAAACAATGGGAAAGAATAAGATGTTTTTAACTAGATCTTACTTCAGAACTATCAACAACATGGAAGATCTGATTTAAGTGGAGTGGTGTCAGGAAGACCTTTTGGGAAATTATTACTACAATTCAGTTAAGAAACGAACAGTTCTCAGGACTGAAGAGATGGCTTAGTGGTAAGAGCACTGGCTGCTCTTGCAGAGGACCTGGGTTCAATTCCTGGCACCCACGTAATGGCTAACAATTGTCTGTAACTCCAATTCCAGGGGAATCCAGTGCCCTCTTCTGGCATCCATGGGCATTGCATGACATGGGCTCACCTACCTACATGTAGGTGATACACTCATACACATAAAATAAAAATAATAAAATTTTTTTTTAAATGAACACTTCTTAAGCCCAGCATAGTGGTTCACGTGTGTAATCCTAGCACTCAGGAGGCTGAAGCAGGAGGATTATTTTGAATTCAAAACCAGCCTGGGCTACAACCAAGTCTCAAAAAATAAATTTAAAAAGAAAAGAAAAAGAAATGAACACTTTTCAAAGAATAGTAATAATGCAAATAAAAGAAGTGAATTATTTCAGACCCATTTTAAGGAGTAACTGAATCTATGACTGCTTCAATGTAAGCTGTAAAGAAGTTAAGAGACTTGAAACTTTAGAGTGGAACGACAGATTACAGTAGGACCACTAAAGATGTGTCTTTGTCAGTGTCCGTGTGTGTGTGTGTGTGTGTGCACGTGCATGCGTGTGTGTGTGTGTGTGCGTGCGTGTGTGTGTGTAACAAGAGCCTATGGGCATATTTGAGGTAAAAGAAGATGGGCCAGCTTTGAACAAGCGGGGTTGAGTAGCCACAGAACATGTGAATGCACACCTGGACAGTTTTAGTTTAGCGGATTGGAATTTAGGAGAGCAAATCAGAACTAAAGGTATTTGTGACTCTTCTTCAACGGGAATGTTGCAAAGCTAAATAAGTATACTGAGGAGGTCAGAGGAGAAAGATGAAAAGCCTGAGGTCAGCAAAATGCTGCTAAACCCATCACTCAGAAGGAAGAAAGGGGAGGCGGAGGACGCCATGACGCAAGGATTTCTCAAGGGCAGGTTAAATCAGATGAAAGGAGAATATGATGAATCTCCTAGACTCAGCTCCCAAAGGTCTTTCAAGGAGCACTTAAATTAACATTGGACTGGTCTTAACAGTAGGTAGATGAGAGAGTGTTAGATAAGCACACTAGTTTTTTTGGTTTGTTTCATTGTTTTTC